TGAAACTAATAACAAATAAAATAAATAATCTATAAAAATGTGTTGCTCAATAAAAGCAGAATGTTATTAACACAACTTGCACATGTATGTAGTTTGTTTAAAGCGTAAATAGTAATATATGTGTATTATGCCCTCACAATCTCCTTAAAGAATCTTACAACAATTGCAAAACTGTTTTTTTCTGCTGATGAATACAGCCGATTATTTTCTCTATCCAGTTTCAAACGCGCTTGTATCTTTCGGCGGATCTGGACTTCGGACTTGCTCGTCATTTCGCGCCAAAAGTGCGGAGTAGTGACGTATCACTTGACCACTGACACCAGTAAATGAGAGTTACGCGAGTGGAATAGCGGATATGCGATGTACCGAGCTATGTGTAAGTATACGTTGACATAATTGTTCATTAATAGAACTCTCTAAACGTTTAGGAGTGAAATCTCACTGCAAAGAGAGCGAAAACTGACCCAGTCTTGGAAAAATCTTCAGTTTTCGAACTTTAAGAGGGAGACTCACTCTAAAAGTTTTAGAGAGTACGTGCGCATTTTACGGGATTCGAGTGTTTCCAAGCACGTTTTCACGTGTCGTAACGCAAGACGCCGAATCTGGATCGCATACTTTTAATCGATTCTTTGCACCGATTGATTTCTAACCTAAATAAGTCAACAGTCGCGTCGTCTCTCGCGGCATCGGAGTGAAGTTGCACCGCATTCGAATTTTTCGGTTATTGAGGGAACGTTACGGGTAAGAAATGGATCTGGCGGTCGAGTCTCATTTAATTAGTATCTAACTGTAAATAGAGTCGAAATTAAGCCGCGTGATCCGATATTCGTCGTTTAAGTACTTCGCGTGTACTTTCATTACGATAAGCCGTGATACGTGTTTTGTGAGATTTAGGGTACGGGCCAAAGTAATGCTACAAATGCTTCGATTATTGCATTAATTCTTTAATCGGTTAATTCGTAAAATTCTGCTGATTGATCAATCAAATGCTGTAAAGCATTTGTAGTGGGACTTTGATCACATCTTTATTCAATTGTGATCCGTGATCACCTT